GAATGGGAATTACCACCAAATATTTTAGAAACTAAATGAGCACTACAACTGAAAATCTTTAACAGTTCTGCAGCAAAACTGTTCTAGTAAATCTGTTTTTCTGATCTCTTCAGAGCTCAGTTTCTTGAAACGATACTAGTTTCTCATTACCTGTCTTACTCCTCCACCAAATGGAATCTGGCTTCTGCTGGCTGAGTTTATCCACCCTGACTTCTCTGCAGCATTAAACCCTGTAAACTACATCTCTCTTAGCTTCCATAACTCTACTCTCCCCTTGTTTCCTTTTTTTTTTTTTTTTTTTTGCCTGTAAGTCTTCATGACTCCTTTCTCTTCCAACTACTGCAAAAATGGTGCTCGCCAGTGAGCTCTACTTAGTCTCTCTCTTTCAATTTTGAGCGTTCTAATGTACTCCCATAGATTTGGCTGGTGATAGACATTTAGGGTTCTATCTCCCACAAGCCATTCTCCTTCCTATTGGTAGACTAATCTTTCTAGAACACAAATCTGATCAGATCTCATCCCTTGTTTTAATCTAAGAATAGAGTCCAAAATCCTTAAAATGGCATATAATGCTTTCATGATTCCTTTCCAATCTCACCTCTTCCATGTTTATCACAATTTATGCATAGCTTTGTGTCTAGGTTCTTCTGTTCTTCAAACTGACCCCAATTCAAATGCCACCCACTATGTGAAGTCGGGCAATTACTTGCTCCCCCACCCCACCATTACATACTCTCTGTACATAAACTATGTAATTATCTACATTTACATCTCACTTTTCCAATGTAGCTACAGTAACTTAAAAAAATATATATGACTAGAGTCCTTGGAAACATTCACAAAGGGAAAAGATTCAATACGCTAACAAAAAAATAAAATAACTAAAGGACAGAAAAATGAGAAGCAACTGAGCTATGACTAATTAATCTCCTTCAAGGCTAAATGAAATCTCCTACTTCTGTCTATACAGAACAGCTACGATGATACCAGCACTTAAAAGATTTAATTTGAAATTGGTCAAGATGCAATTTCTAACTGAAACCTGGTTTAAAAAAAGAACTGCCATTCAACCTTTACAATTGCAGGTGAAAATGGAATGACTTTCTACTGATAAGACACTGGACTCATTATGTTAGCTCTGATCAGATTTGAAAGTTTAAATCAGCAGCCATCCAAAGAAGATATATGCTAAGATTGATTGACAAAGTGTCTCTCACTAAGGAAAATTAAAAATGAATGAGAATGAAAATAACTACTGCAATAGAATCTATTTGGTTTATTAGATTCTGATACAATCTAATATCTAAATAGAATATGGATCTAAGTAAAATAGAATCTAAATAGAATCTAAATAGAATAATGGTTTATTCTATTTCTTTAAAGCTGCATCTAGCATACCTTAATTATTACAGAAAAAAAAAGTTTTAAAAAACAAAAACCCACCTGCATTCATGCTACCTCACTTCTAGATTATGGAAGTGAGTCACAGAATAATCCTTATTCTTTCTTAATGCAATATTTGTAAAATGTCATTATTACAATCATACAGTGGAAATATGAATTAAACTTAGTACAATCATGGTATTAAAGGAATTTGAATTAACAAAATTTTGTATCACAAATTTTGTTTGCTCACATTACACAACAGTGGCTGGGAGCTATGTTTTCCTTCACAAATTCTTATAAAGAATACCACCTCTAGGATGGGTTAGTGATACTTCACAAGGAAAACAATGAGCAGAAGATCAAAACAATCATCTTTAAGTGCAGCATCTGTGAAAAGAAAAACAGCAAGAGAGCTCATTTCTGATAAGTTACTTCAGAAATCAAACTGGATATTTTCCCATACTTGTTTCACAACATCATGTGCCTGTTCATTAAAAAGAACATTTAAGATTAACAATTAATCAAGGTATGTGGTAGAGGTATTGAATGAATGGACAGAAAGAAGGCAAAGGCAGGAGGTAGGCAAGTTCACATACCACTTCCTTCTCTAATATAAAATAAACTATGAAAAAACTTTAAGCTCCCATAGTACTTTTTACATACCTCAATTTGAAACTTTTACACTGAACTATAATTATTTACATTTGCCTCTCCAACACAAATTAGAAGTTACATCTTCATATTCTTAAAAAATTTACATATTTGTACTTAAATAGCCTTTCCATTTTTAGGCTCAGAATTGACAAACTAACAAATCTTTGGTTAAAAAAATATCTTGGGCAGAGGTTTTCTAACTTTATTGAAAGAGCATCCCTCTTTTTAAAAGTTAAATACCTACATGATTTTTTTTCTGAAACAATCCTGGAGTGCTCCTAACCCAATTTTTGATTGTAGAAGTTTTTTCAGAGCAGTAGCACCAGAAGCTCCTACTTCTTACCTAAACCTACATTTCTGGTCCCCTTCCAATCCCGACATCTGGGAAAGACAGTTTGGCCCTAAGTATTCTGTGAAAAAAATGTTGAGTGTCTCCCAAACAAATGTCTTTATATATAAGTTTCATATATAATGAATATATTAAAAAATCATTACACCATGGAAATTACAACCAGTAATAAATGTTCTAAGTAAACTATTTTTATGCAGTTATCATGGAATATGTCAAGACACAGTTCTACAAAAAATCTGAAAAAGTATATATTACATTACTACAATAAATTATAGTATTATATATATAACTGAATCACTTTTCTATACACTTGAAACACACGTTGTAAATTAACTATATTTCAATTAAAAAAAAGTTTTTAAAGACATAGTTCTACAAACACGTCTTAAAATGGCAAACCCTCAGATGAGTAAACTCAGGAATGTTTACGATAACTATGAATAAGATTAGAGGGGACAAAAACCAGATTATTTTGCTATTTTCCTTCTTAACCTCTCCATAGACTCCACCTTCCCATAAACCCCATAGTTTCCAATATATCAAAATTAAAATGCTGTTAAGTTTCATTCTCTATCTAGCCCACATTTGTCAGCAGTAAGAGTTATAAAATGTCCAAAATGTGAACATAAGAAATAGAAAAGTTAAGGAGGTAAAGTTTCCCCCAAAGAAATGTGAATTTCAAACCTCTGAATTTGAGTTGGCGAGGAAGATACCAGTTCTTTTTTTTTTTAACTTTAAAAAAGCAGCAGTGTGTAAATCAAGAACGGTAGAAACAGAATCACAAATAAAACCAGTAGGATTATGAACGATGAAACCTCACAATTTTCAATGTGACACTGCAATATGAAATAAGCAACAGTATTCCCCAAACTTTTTATGGCCAATATTTTTTTTCTCCCTCTAACAATCTAAGGCAACTTCACATAACAAAGTTCCTGTACTAGCAAAAACAAAGGCTAATGAAACTTGGGCTTCTAATGTAATACTGCAAATCTGATTTTACACTGTCTCAGATTCCACCAGTTTGGCCCCCATCCATAACACGTTCATATTAAAAAGCAATACACCCAATAAAGCAATTTTAAGAAATAACGCTACAGTTTGACACATGGGTGGGGATTACCAAAGAACCTCCTACGTTAAGAATACTGACACAGTGAAAACAAGCGGTTCTGACGGTTCCCAAAAGTTACTCATCTCATAGACCTGAGAAGACGCTAAAGGGAACTTCAGTGACACACCCAGGGCAGACCGCCACGTTAAGGATACAACTCTTCCGAGGTGGAGAGGGCTCTCGCCAGCTCTGACTGCTGCCGAATCCGGATCCAGCTCCTCCTCCCAGAGGAGGTCTGCCCCCCGGCTTGCCTCCTCGCTCACCCCCTCCTCGCCCCCGACTCCAGCGACTCCCACCCCGGTAAGGCCTGCCTCGAAAACGGAAACGGTCCAAGGCGATGTGGCTCCGTTCCCAAAAGGACGGCCGAGGGCTGCTTTCGGACAGTGAGCTCGAAGGCATCCGCACGGAGGGCGGGTGAGACCGGAACGGCTCTTTGGGTCGGTAGCTGCTGTGTCCCCTGAGGTGGCCCCGCTCCGACGCGTGCCGCGAGCGTGAAAAATTCCTCAGCTGCTGCTGAGAAGAGGACGATGACGAGGAGGAGCCACCGCCTCCGCCGGATCCACCGCCCCGGGCCGGGTGAGGAGGCCTTCGCCGCGGGTACGGTAACAGCCCGCCGGCACTGCTGCTGCTGCTGCTCCGGCTCCGTACCTGGCTGTTATTATCGTCGTCGCTGATCTCCCCATCTTCGAGCTCCCCTTCTTCCTTGGGCGAGAGACCACTGGAGGCCGGGGCCGGAGTATCTGCAGTCGCCATCCCGGGAGCAGCGCGTTCCACACAACCTTAGCGCTCTGTCCGGGGATCCGCCCGTCAACTGCCTTCCTGCTCAGTTTCCTTCTTTCTCAACGGACCCGGTCGGTGCGGCCTTACCCTACTTGCTCACCTAGCGGGCTCTGCTCCCTAACTTCCCCGCACCCCAGCTCTTTCTCGCCGGACCGTCGCAACCCACTTCCCTGCCCTAGCGCCCCCTTGCTCCTCCGCGATCTGGGCCCTTCCGCCTCGCGAGAAGAGAGCTCTGGAAGTGGCTCTGCTCATGACGTCACTTCCTGCGGCACGCAGGAAACAAGGCTCTCAGTTCACGCGATGATAATTAGGACAACGCGATACTCACTGGGAGTTGTAGTCATTTTTTTTTTGGCTCTCGCTTAGGGTTTGTCCTTCCAGTCTGAGGCCCGTCCCCACTCCAGGCGCTGCTTTGGGGTTTTTGGGTTCGTGATGGGGTAGGCGGGCCCGTTCTTAATCTCGGCCGTGAGAGTTTCAGAGTAATGGGGGGGATGGGAGGGACACACATCTTTTTTTTAATTGCTCGGAGGACAGCTGCTGAGGAAAAGCAGTAGTCCTACTCCCTTTTGGGAGCCAGGGAGAGGACGGGGTGCGTCCGCCATGTTGGTGAAGGCAAACGAAGGGGACTAGAGCTCCAGGACTGTCGGCTCCTGTGGCTCAAGTCCGCCATATTAATAAAGAGAAAGGGAAGGCTGACACCACCCCCCCTCCCTGCACACATACGTACACCCTTTCTTCCCACCTAGCTCCCGCAGCTTAGCTGGGTGGGCCCTTCCCCAGCCTCGCTTGCCCAGTCTCTTCCCGAAGGAAGCGTAGCAGCCCGCGCCTCAGATTAGGCTTAAGACAGCGCCGAATGAGGGCGAAAAGGAAATGCCGACCAATTGCGCCGCGGCGGGTTGTGCTACTACCTACAACAAGCACATTAACATCAGCTTCCACAGGTAACCTGGGCAGGGAGTGGGGGTGACGGAAACGGGAGTTCCTAGACTGGGTATCGCTTGTGTGGAAAGAACAGGATTCTACTAATTCTGATAACTTCGCTAGGTAGCTAGCTAGTAGCAGGGACGCATCATTTTTGCCCTTTGTGTGTGTTTCTCAAATCTGTCCAATTTTTCGCTCCCTTCGGGGTAGGTTTACTCACTTTGTAAAAGAGAGCCAAGTTCTCTCCGTAATTACTCCTTCTCTAGAAAGTGACAGGAGGATACCTTAATTTTCTATTCTGCTACTCCCTGTGTATTTGACCAAGTTTTGATATTAATGACGCCATAAGAGGAAGCAAGATCTGCCTTTTCAAGTCAGCAATCACCTAAAAAGCCTGCTGTGTTCCCGTATAATTAGTCAATTCTCACTAGCAGGACTGACATGGGAAGCATTTAAATTTCAAATAGTCACGCACAGTAACTCTGCGGAAAAATTGAGTCATCATCATTAGTAGCCGTGGAATTAAGCGATGTTAATGAAAGTGGAAAAGATAAGCTTTCTATTCTTACTAGAACAGGGTAGTATAAAAAGAACCCAGGTTATGTTTTGCCTTCGTTTGCTGGAAGAGCAATCAAAATTCTTTATTTCTGTCAAATCAGAACTCTGGAAAGCGCTTTGAACCCTACATGAAACATAATAAATACTTGGTAAATGTTTACCTTCTCTGCAAGTGCCTGCCATATGCCTGAAGAAAAGAAGCATTCAAAAAGTTAAGTACAAACAGTTCTGGTTTGATATACCTCACAACTTAAGATCTTAGAATGTAGAAAATGATATCCTTGACCTTTCTCCCTACTTCATTATGACAAAATGTACCCACTTATTAAAAGTTACCACTTAAAAAAAAAATCCTTGTGGTGGTTCTGTTTTTCATCTACTTCATGCAAATGTAGTGCTTTATTCATTCATCCATCAAATGTGTACCAAGCTCTTATTTCCCAGACATGGTGCTAGGGATCCAGAAAATTCTTAACCTTCCTGGAGTTGGAATGAGAAAGACCAACATACATAATTGTGGTCAAGTGCCAAAGAAGAGACCTTCAGGGTCTCTAACTTAGCCTTGCTTGGAAAGTCAAAGAACACTTCTCAAAGGATGTGAAATTTCAGATGAGACCAAGAGATGACATAGATTTGGTCCTCTACGATACTTAAAGGATTTTCTGTTTTATCCAATGAGTACTTGAGAAGCTATGGAGGGCTTAAAAAGAATGGCGTGATTAGATTTGTATATTAAAAAGCCCTCAGGCTGCAGTGCAGAGAATTACAGTGTTACTTAAAGTGCTGGTCAAGCATCATCAAGAGATGAATTTGACAGAAAGGAGCTTATTACAGAATGTTAATGCACCTGCTGTTTCACAAGGATATCCTGCTACAGCGTCAACTGAACTAAATGTACTTCTGTTGTTGGCACAATCAGCACTAGATTAGAAGAGGTGAGCGTTGATAGAGAAAAAAGTTGGGAACCTGTAGTAAAACAATGGAGAGTCCACCCAGTGGCCTAGACTACAGTGGTACTGACAGTAGAGATGGAAAGTGGACAGACTTGAGAAATGTTTGAGGAGAAACTACCATATATGGTCATTTGATTTGGAAGATGAGGGGGAGGGAGGATTCAAGGTACCAATAATGAATGTTTAGGAGATGCACAGTGGTACCATAACATACATACCTCCTCTCCATGTTTGACTGTTTGCTATGAAATTAACATTTTCATGTGTAACCCCAGAAGTTTAGGTGTTAAAATAACATTATTTATTATAAAATTAATCCCTATTTCATAATTAACACTATTCACTCCTTTCCTAGGACATTGGTAGAATTCTTTATCCCCATGTACAGCTTATATTGCCTAAACTTACTGTCACCATTTTTCTTATCTCTTAGCCCATTCCAGTCTAAGTGTTGCCAATAATAATCTTTTGAAACTGTTCTTGCTAACATAAATTGTCACTCCAGCGTCCTTTTTTCATGGCATGTGATCATTTCCTCCTTGAAATACTCTCTACTTTGAATTATTTGACACTAATTTTGTGATTTTCACCTTACTTTTTTGGCCTAACTTCAGTCTCCTCTGCCACTCCACCCCCTGACCAAGGTCCTCCCACTCTTATCAAAAGGATTGCAACGGTTCCTGTGGTCTTGGTTAACATTTACCTGTTAATGCCTCCCAAATCAATACCTCTGGTCCAACTCTCTCTAATGAGTTTTAGACCTATCGGTAAAGTGTCTCAGTTATTTCCCTGGTCTCTTCAGTTACTCACATTCAGCGTACTAAAGCTGTACTACTGAACTTGCCCTTCCCCCCAAACCTACACCACTTCCCATATTCCCTTTCTCAGTAAATGGAAACACCATCCACCCAGAAACTAGGAGGTCATCCTCCCTTGACATCTCACCATTCCCTCTCAGTTGGATTATTACAACCTTTTAACTGTTTCACTGCTTCCATTCATGCACTCCTATAATCAATAGTGTGTTGCTAAATTTTTAACAACAGAATTTCCAGGAAAGGGGGAAAGCCCTGATTTGTAGTGTTTTTCCAATTTCCATGATATAAATACTCCCACCATAACTGGTTATAAGCTACCAATATGACATCACTGATCATGGAGTTGGGAAGAAATGTGCAGTACTACTCTATTCTATAGCATTTATTCCATACAGGTGTAACAGACATAAGTAACCTGAAGAGTATAGACAACAGTAAAATAATTAGGAAGTGATGGGTTTTTAGTACTTACTACCTTTGTTTTTAATTGATTTAAATGCAAACTTACATAATGTAATTTTTAATAATGGCTGTGTTTAACAACCAGTTAAAACATTTTCTGTTGACAGCTCTAAATTAGGCCTCTTAATGGTTTACCAATGCCATTTTGGATAAAGTTCAAAATTACTCTTTAACTTGGAAAGTCCTCCATCTTCATTTCGTGTCATAACACTCTTCCTGTCCCCAAGATACTCTTTAACACTCTTCACTACTACCATCCTAATTTCCCTAGCTAATTCATACTGTCTTAAGGCCTCTTGATGAGATTAGTTCTTCCTGTTTTATGGTTCTGTGCAATCCTGTACTTACCCTTTTATAAACTCATGACACTTGTAATTACTTTTATAATAATAATAAACAGCATTTATTTAGTATTTACCACGTACTATGCATTGGGCTGAGCATTTACTCACAATGTCTCATTTAATCCCTAGAACCACACTAGGTACCGTTATTACTCCACTTTATGGATGATGAAACTGGGGCCTAAAAAGGTTAAACATTCTTAAAGTCACCCAGCTATTACGTGAAGAAGCTGGGTTTGATACCTGGTTTGATTACAGAGACTATTTTCAGCCGCTCTTTTCTACTACATCAAGATATTTGATTCTCTACCTTCCCCATTACAGTATACCCACATAGAAGGTAGATATCATAAAGGTAGATCAATTATGTCTTCAGTGCCTAGGACAGTGCTTGGAATGTAAGAGGCATTCAGCTGTTAAAGACCCAAGCAAAATAGCATTGTTAAAATACTGAGTGATTTTCCAAAACTACTAATGTTTCTGAAAGCCTGGTTCTATTATTGTGTAAACAAGAATATATCCATCTATTAACACCACATTAATTTTTTTAATTAATATTTACATGATTTATTATTACTTAAATTCAGTTTATGGGCTGCTTCTCCCACCCTTTGAATTTGCTGAGAAAAATCCAAACAACACATGCAAAAACATGATTAAGGTTAATACTGTATAAAACATTATCTAAAATCAAATATAAAATTGTTGATTAATCTTATTTTATTTCAACACAGATAATCTAAAAATTATTTAGTAATGCCAAACTAACTCCATTACTTTGTATATTCATTGATTCACTCAAAAAGTTCATTGAATGCTTAGTAACAGGAAAAAGTAGTGAAAAAACAGCTCCTAACCAGGAGAAACCTGTGATCTAGTGGTGGAGATAGAAAAGCAAACAATTAGAATACAGTTATATTAGTGCTATATGATATAGGAACATCTGACCAAGTCTTCTGATCATAAAAACACTTGTTAGGAATATGGGATTCCTAAACTGAGTCTTAAAAGAAAGAAGTAGAATTTGATCACGTTAAGGTCCAGTTGGAGACATTGGTTTCATAATTGAAAACTTTTTTTTAGTTTAAAAACGAGCTAAAAGGGGCGGGGTGAAAGATAATATTTGAAAGAAAGTCTTCATATATCTGAATAGTCTTATACAAATGCTAATATTTGTGCTTGAAGTCCCAAGAAGAAGTATGCTTATAAACTAAAGCTTAATTTTTAGCTTAATCCTCAGGAAACATTTTCAGATCACTAAATATTGGAACAGAAAGCTTTGAGATGAGAATACATTACTATTAAGAGGTGAGGGCTAGGCCGAGTAGATAAAGTCTCCATTAGAGAGACTTGTATTTCTAGTGAAATGCAAAACAACGTACATATATGAAAACATGTGAACTGCAGAGTGACACACGAATGTTATCCTCAAGTGAGGGTATGTTTGGGGCAGTGGGGGTGGGACATGAGATGACAGGGTGTCTAAGTAAGTCTGGGCCTTCACCTCTGTGGCCCTCCCTGCTGGTAATTTGAGCAAGCCTAGTATATCTGACACAGCCAAAGCTGTTACCTAATGAAGCTTCAGTTGGGGGCTTTTGAGCCACATGATCTTCTAACATAAATTTAATGGTTCTTTTTAGGTACTAGTGAGTTCATAATACTTCAAGGATAAGGTAGTCAAACTAAAGAAGAGTTCAGTTCAAACTTATTACATGTGAATGTTGATTCCTCTATTTGCAAGTCAGTCAACATAGTTACCATTCGAATTTTTAGACAGTCCCTTATATTTTTCTCTTAACAGGTGTACACTGGGTGCATATCAGTAAATTTTATATCTGAAATAAATATAAAAGGAAAAACATTCCTG